TCCAAGAGGAGCTTTACAATATTCCTTCAGATCTTAACAACGCTTAAAGTATTCTTAATAAAATGCTTTTTGGTGTGACACCAATACACACGTAGGTTTCAATTACATTTTAGCACTCCCAGTAGGAAGTAGCTCTTTATTGGGAGAAGTGACTTATGATAGTGCAGGATTATGGGTTTGGTCTTTGCATTACAGATATTCGAAGCCTGGTGAAAATAAAAACTGCTCAGCACATATTCTATAGATGAGCTAATCCTTGTGCACGGGAAAGCATTTCTGAAGAAGTTAAGTGTTTGAAATAAAACCCTGTAGTCATCTAGTAGAAGAGAGACATGAAATTGTTATTTATCAAGATGAAACCAGCATTTGGATAAAATTCTCCGGTGCCGTTAATAACTTCTGTTGACGAGGGAGTCACAACAGCAGAAATGAGGTAGACGTCCCCCAGAGCTTGGAGAAGCGGGATTTTTCATGGGCTGTGAGCAAGGAGAAGCATGTGTCTTCGGTAATAACTTTCTGAGCGGCTCCATCAGAATGGCCACCACGAGTTTATCTTTTTCTCTTCTCTCCAAAAGCTTTGTCAGCCTTGAATAATCTGCTGTGGCTACAGACTGCCAGAGTGCCACATGGCCACGTGCATCTCCAACATGAAGTCCAACTCCCCGAGCAGTTTTATCATAATGATTAAGTTTCTTAACTTAAATCAAGGAAGTCTCTGGAGTTCCCTACAACAATGTGAACTTAAGATAAACAATGAATGATGAATAGGCCAATTACTGAAACCTCCCTTCAGCTGAGGCCATATGTGGCTAGTTGATAAGAGGAGGTATGCGTTCTCTCATCTGGCAAATGTTACAGAAAATGGGAAGGTTTGAAGCAGACACAGTTCTGTGCAATCAGCCACTGGCTAATGAGTGATTTCCTTTTATATGTGATTTTTCCTTTTCTGTGTTTGCTGTTCGGGATGTTGGAAGCGGGGAGGGAGCCAGCAGCCTGACCAACACACATGTAGATGCTTCGCTCTGGGATAAATCACCCAGAAGCCACTGGGTCTGAAGGATGGTGGTGTTGCTCCAGGTGGAATGGGGGTCCAGGGTGAGAGCTGCATCCCACACCCCTCACTCAGGCTTCCCCCTCCTCCCGAAGCCCCCTGGGGCAGTGGTGCCTGCAAATGCCCCTGCAGAGCCAGCACCACCCTCTGCCCTCACGGCGGGTCCCAACCCGAGACTTAAAAGCAGGAGGAGATGGCTAAGGGCGGTGTGATGGTGCTGTATGTGTCTCCAGAAGGTGAGGAAGCCTTTCCTGAGACACCCACCCAAACCAGGGGAAGAGCCGTTCTGTAAATCTACCGGCAGCCTGCTGAAAGCTTCATGTGTGCAACAGCAAAGGAGGACAGACACCTTGGACCACAGCTGAGGACCAAGGGACAGGCACCTCGGACCACGGCTGCATGACCAGGGGACAGACACCTTGGACTGTGGATGCAGCACCTCAGACAAGCAGTAAGCCAGTGCTCTGGATGTATTTTGGGGCTGGAGCACCTAAAAGAGCAAGGGCGAGAGGCATTTCCCCTTCTGAGAGACCCCCCAAGTGCCACCCGAGGAGAAGGGGCAAAGGCTGGCAGAGGAGGACACAGAGGGGTCCCCCCAGGTGCTGCAGCTCCGTGTCGCTCCCCCGGCTCCATCCGGGAGCAGATGCCACCACTGCCACCACGCCACCCTGCAGCGAGAGCCGCAAGGCACCGCGTCCCGCAGTAAACGATATGATTTACTTACTACCTATGGAATTGCCCAATTAATTCACTATCCACATTAATATTATGGCTCATTTTTAACTTTACTGTCTCCATCGTTCCAATTTAGTGCTGCTCAGAGATGCTGCCACTGACCTTAATGGGTTTTTCATTATAACAAAGAGCACCGTATTAATCACGATGGGTTTTCAGCTGGAGGTTGCTGCCCGAGCCCCACCGCTTTGAGGAGCTGCTTTTTAGTAGTTCAGGGACTTATTTTATTTCTGTCAGGCTTCTCGCCCCTGCTCGCACCGTGTACGAACCTTTGTGCTGTCCAGGAGGAATTTCTTGGTATAACATTTCCAGGCACAGAGATTTTATGCGGCAGTCAAGCTACGCTGCGGATATGATAGATTTTTCTGGGCAAATTGGAGCAAGAAGTAGAAAACCGAAAGGATGCACCAGTCATAGCCAATGAGCCTCTTATTGTCCTGTATAAAAATCAAATGCCTTTTAATCATTTCAGATGTTCTTCTGGGTATCAATTAGTCACACATTAATATCAGTATTGCTTCTCTTCCTCAGTTCACATCAGATTAAATTCTCCCCTGTCACATAGACTCGCGCTTATTAGCTTCAAGGAAAATTAGTGATTGTTCTCTCTTCATTGGCACTGATGGGAGATTTCCATCGGAACTGCATTTCATACAGAGAACCTGATTGTCATCTTAAAGAGTTTGAGGTTTTTTTCCCCAAAAATTGTTGTCTTTTCCTGGAAAATCAATTTTTTTTTTTCTTTCTCTGAAACCCTGAATGCTGAGCCTGAGCACTGGGGAGTGGGGGGGAAAAAACCCATTCCTGACCAACGTCATCCCGGGGTTTCTGTCCCTCTCTGCACCCCAAGTATCCGTCTTCCCATTGGGATGCAGCGCCTGTCACACAGCCCACAGCTGTCGAGGGGAAGGATAATTCGGGTTGCAAGGTGTTTTGCTGCCATCAAACTCCCCGCCCCCCCTGGTTCAAGACTGGATATTTATAATGCTCTCTATGGAGAGCAGCGGTGAGGAGGGGTCTCATCCTGCTCCCTGCCCTGCATGGGGGCCGGGGGTGCACGGAGCTGAGCTGGCTCCGGGGCTGCATGTGCATGCGTGTGTGCATGCATGTGTATGCATGCGTTGTGTGTGCTCACTCCCGTTGTTCCCCATCCCTCCTGGCCAGCAGTGCCCAATTTTGCAGGCTGCAGCAAAACGAGGTCTCCGGCCCTGCGGCCCCCCTGCCGCTCCCCCCAGCCGCTCCATCCCCAGCATTCGCCAAGCGCTGGAAGGGACCGATGATATTTATTGAGTTTTATTAACTCCCAGCCCTGCGAGGTTCTCACCTCTTCCAGCTAATTCAGACGCCCGACTCCTGCTGGAGTTGCAGTGATTGCCATTAAAAAGCTTGACATTTACCTTACAACAGTAATAAAATAATAATGCCTAATTTGGTTTACGAGTGGTATTTGCAGTGTTTCCTGTGCCTGGAGTGGGGGATATTGTGAAGATCGCTGCTATGCTGATCAATTATGTCTGCTTAACGGCACTGCTGTAATTCTTTCCTGTAATCATAACTGTTTTTCAGTAGAGCTGCTCCAAAGTTTTCCTTGGAAACTGTAATTTTGACAGGAAAAGCAAATGTTTTCAGATACTTCAGTTTCCAGTGAATAACGCTTCAGAGG